GGTGTCCCTCAGGGATCGGTGTTGGGGCCAGTCTCATTCAACGTTTTTGTTGGTGACATGGACAGTGGGATTGAGTGCGCCCTCAGCAAGTTTGCTGATGACAGCAAGCATCGGTTGGTGTCGGTTGTGTGGTTGATATGCTGGAGGGAAGGAATGCTATGCAGAGGGACCTTGACACGCTTGTGAGTTGAGCTGATGCCAACCTCATGAAGTTTAGCCATGACAAGTGCAGGGTCCTACACCTGGGTGGGAGCAATCCCAGGCACAGCTATAGGTTGGGCAGAGAAGAGATTCAAAGCAGCCCGGCAGAGAAGGACTTGGGGGAGCTGGTCAATGAGAAAATGAACATGAGCTGGCTTCAGTGTGCACTCACAGCCCAGAAAGCCAACTGTATCCTGGGCTACATTAAAAGGAGCGTGACCAGCAGATCGAAGGAGGTGATCCTGCCCCTCTACTCTGCTCTCGTGAGACCTCACTTGGAGTATTGTGTGCAGTTCTGGTGTCCTCAACATAAAAAGGACATGGAACTGTTGGAACAAGTCCAGAGAAGGGCCACGAGGATGATCAGGGGACTGGAGCATCTCCCATATGAAGACAAGCTGAGAAAGTTGGGGCTGTTCAGCCTGGAGAAGAGAAGGCTGCGTGGAGACCTCATAGCAGCCTTCCAGTATCTGAAGGGGGCTATAGGGATGCTGGGAGGGACTGTTCATTAGGGACTGTAGTGATAGGACAAGGGGTAACGAGTTAAAACTTAAACAGGGGAAGTTTAGGTTGGATATAAGGAAGAAGTTCATTCCTGTTAGGGTGGTGAGGCACTGGAATGGGTTGCCCAGGGAGGTTGTGAATGCTCCATTGCTGGCAGTGTTCAAGGTGAGGTTGGACAGAGCCTTTGGTGACATGGATTAGTGTGAGGTGTCCTTGCCCATGGCAGGGGGGTTGGAACTAGATGATCTTAAGGTCCTGTCCAACCCTAAGTATCTATGATTCTATGATTTGATGATTCTATTTAGAAAACACACACAACCAAGACTCTATAGCAAACTGGGTTTTAGCATTATCATTCACGGAAATCAGCTCTACAGTGTACTGAAAAATAACTTCAGCACATATAGGTTAGAAAAAAATAAAGTGTGATGCTGTTCATTGATTTGGTATACCGCAGGGAAAAGGTTTAGCACCTTCTTTTTCTAAAAATGAAATATGTTGATAAAACATAAGTGCATAGTGAATATTTGATGGGCAGGTGGCCTTTCTGTTTTTGTGTTGATGCACGTAAATTCTGCTGGGGGAAAAACACACCTGAATGTCAGTGCAGATTCTGCATAGAAGCTGTGCATAAGCTGTCAGGCTTTATGTCCCTCAAAGCGCTGGTTTATAGGTATGATAGACACTTATCACATTTCCGTTATTGAAACTCCCTAGGGCAATCCCATGACATAGAAGACAGTAGACGCATCCCTTTGGCTGCAGAGGTTGGACTCCTAACACGGAACGTACAGATCAAGTCTGATGTGGCTTGCACTGGGAGGATGCTGGTGGGACGTTTTACACACTCCAGTGGCACAGAGTTTGAAGGTAGTTGAGATTCATCTGCCCTCATTGACCAGATCAGTTCTGCCCAAGAAAGTACGGTCTAGAAACAGGTGTATCCATTTTCATCTGCTATGCAGTTTTAAGCATAAGTAATGAAATATATATTTTAGGTTCTGTGCGTAGTTGTTTTTTACTATAGTTTTATACATATTTATAAAAAAAAAAAAAAACACTGATTGCTAACAATACACTAACATTGCTTGCCATTATATGCCTGAAAGCTGTTTAAATGGGTGTGATTCTTACTGGTTCTTATGTGATATTTTAAGCTCTTATTTCACTATAGTTATTTCATTGCAGGTATCCTTCAACTCTTCAATACTGAATTTTTGAACTTTGGGCCTCCTCAGCTTTCTGCTATTGAATTCAGGAATACATCCCAAGAGTCCTCGGTGGTGTCATCCAGCATTAATGGTAGCTGTGGAGCTGGCATTAAAGCAGTTATGAGCAACCGGATCTTGTTACATGATAATATGGTGTTTAACACAGTTGGACCTGGCATCGATTTGGAAGGGCAAAATCATTCTCTTATCAGGAACCTTGTCATTCTGAGCAAGCAGCCAGAAAACTCATTAAACTGGGTTGCTGGCATCAAGACAAACCTTGCCATTGGTGTCTCCCTCTGTGGCAATGTTGTGGCAGGATCTGAGAGAATTGGCTTCCATATCAGGGGGCAAGAGTGTTTGTTAGATGGAGAGTACTGCAGTGAAAACGTGGCCCATTCAAATCTCCATGGCATTCACCTGTACCAGGGAGATGGATTTCAGACCTGCACTAGAATCACAGGCTTTCTATCCTATAAGAATTATGACTATGGTATCATGTTCCACCTTGGAAGCAGCGTCCTCATTGACAATATAGTGCTGGTGGACAACACTGTGGGACTCATGCCAGTAGTGTATTGTCTGTATGCCAAACAATGCCAGACAGGGAAAAGATTCATAGAACTCAGAAACTCCATCATTGTCGCAACAAGCTCAACTTTTGACTGCATCAGAGATAGGATCAAACCTCATTCAGCCAATCAAACAGCCAAGGATCGACCACCATCCTACCCTCTAAGAGGCCGTGTTGGGATTTTATGGCCTACATTCACCACTGTTCCTAGCCAAAGGCCAGAGAACCCATGGCACGAAACTGGGAATTGTACAAAAGTCCTGGGACTCATGAAGCTGGAAGGTTGGTCTTCTGTGTCCACTGGCCAGATTATTCTGTCACTGTTTTTCCTGACTAATTACATTTTTCCAATTGAAGTTGCAGCTTCCACATCCACAAATGGGAAAGTGGGGAAATCCAAGACTCAGTGACATTTATAACTGAATTGTTCTTCACTTTTATACAGTTCAAGAACAAAAAAAAATGTATTATTTGGGGTTTTTTGACTTCCTGAATCTACTGCAGTATAATTACGTAATTTGCTAATGTATTTCAATTAATGTATAAAATAATGTGTAATATTCTACCTCAAACATGCCTGCCTTCTGGGCTATTTTTCCACTTGATTCATCTCTCTGAACTACAGTTCTCTCTAGTTAAATGAGGATACTGAGCTTCAGATGTGAATAGCACACTTTGGATAGAATTTGCGTAGAACATAATGACTGCAGCTGCACAGAAACAGTTATGGGTTTTATTGTTATAAGAGATTGCACAAGAGGTAGAGAAGTTAGTTATGTGTGTATTCCACATCTTTAGTTCAAATGAATTTTATAGTCCCCAGAATAATTTTTCCACTTAGTAGAACCTAGATAGCTGGTTGCTGTGGTGGGATCTAAATAACTTACAGGTTTATTTATCCCTCACTGTTACATATTTTTGTAAGAAAATACATTACCCTTTTTTTACTGAAGAGTAAGGGAGACAGGAAAGACAAATAGACTTGCTCAGGGTCTCACAGAAAATTTGTGGCAAAACATGAGTTTTGTAGCTGCAGAAGAGTTCACTGACAGATCCAATCACGTCACCAGCTCATTATATTAAGGTATGGCAAGTGGATAAACCATCCAAGGCAGGTTGTCATTAAGCTGGTTCTTGCTAATTTAGCCCTTGCTTTTGTTACTTTTTCAGTTACTATATCCTTTGATTAAAATTCCTATTGGTATGACTTGGTTTGTGTCAATTTAAGATATAACTTAGCTATGTAATATTCTAAAGCTAACTGAAGATCTATGATGAATACAATTAGTCTGATTTAAAATTATTTGTGCAAAGACATACACATGGGAGCAACTTAACATGGAAAATGTAGAAGAACAAAGCCTTTCTCTCTCTAGGTCTGTCACTCCTGTAATCATTTTCCATACTTGATCTTCTCTTAATCCCTGCAGAAGTCACCTTTACTGGTTTTACAAAGAGCTGCTACAGTGAAGACAAGGATGTCTGCATCATGTCAAGTGCTGACCATTTAGGCATCATGCCGCTTATCACTGCAGAGACATCAAAGATGTTACATGTCAATGAGAATGACAAGTTCTACTTTCATCCAACAAGGTAATATGCTTAATTCTGAATTATTTTTTCAATGGTTTATGCAAAAAATCACCTACAGTTTTGGGACTATGCTAACATTTGGTTTTTGTATTGTTTTAGAAAGAGTTTAAGTAGCTTAGACTGGATGTCTAGCAGCAGAGCAGTCCCATTTTTTGTCTCTGCTCCTGTCTGGCAAAAATGAACAAGCTCAGACATCAAACAAACATGTACAGAAAAACTTGAATCCGGGCAACAAACAAACAAGCAGCTCCCCACTTATTTTAGGGCATTTTTTTTTGTTTTTAAATTTGAGGTTCAGATTCCATCAAGGTGCATCTCCAGACTAATCCTCTTGGATTTCCTCTTTTACTGACATTTGTATAGCAAAAAACCCTCATACATCCCATTTTTTAAAACAACATCCTGAGCATCTCTGACTTCTCAGCTTCAGGCTTCAGAAAATGTCAGGACCTCCAGCAGAAAACCCTGGGACAGGGAATGTCCTTTTGGGCGGGGAATTGGAGCTTGATTTTTGCCTGCAAGATCACATCAGAAATGTTGATCAGTACCAGGCAGGCTGTGAGATGTCAAATCACTGCCAGAACTGCTCATGCTCAGAGAGAATATCATCTGGGGGGGGGGGGTACACGGGGACGACGACATGAAGGAAGGAGGGGAGAGCCTCATCTGTTACCTTAAGTCACTGCTGGTTGCAGCAGTTTAAACATACCACATCCAATGGAAACCACATGCCTATTTATTACAACCAGTGAACTCAATACAGAGGCTATGTCAGGAAAGCCTTGAAGTAGAAAAAAAATCTAGCAAGGACTCCACTTGCCAGTCAAAAATAATTGGAAGTGTCCCACACTGCAATGTTTAGAGTCCCTCCAGCCTTCTGCCAAGATTTTTATTTTATTCTATATTTTTGCTTTTTGCTCTGGGCAGTAGTTTTTGTGTAGATTTCTGAGACCTGTCCAGCTTGTCAGCTCCCATTATGTTTCACTCTTGTATCCATCCCATGACATTATGCTATTAGTGAGCTGCTGAATATGCAGCCAGTTGCAAGAGCTGGTGATTTTCAAACATGATGAATGCACATGAATTACTGAATGCTTTCTCAGTAGTCTGGTAAACCTCTGAGGGTGGTTACATCTCTTGGTGCTCCTCATGCATTATCTGCATGCATTTATTTAATCCACCTTTGCAACTGCTGAGCTTGATCCAGACTGGGCTGCATTGTTCTGCTTCAGCATCCTGAAGGGATACCTTGATGGATATGTCCTGTCAAAGAGAAGATGAGGATTGCCTTAGAGCAAGAGACGAAATAGAAACATTGGGGAATACAGCAAGACCATGAAATACTTTGCTTGTCCCATTGGTAGACCTAAACTTCTGAAATGCTGGATCTTCTGAGAGAAGTTCAGGAATTGGCTGTCAGGATTAGAAGATCTATCTTTGTTCTCTACTTCTTTTGAGTTGTGTTGATTTGGGGCATTAGCCCATTTGTTTCTCTATAGTAGCTGTAAATCTCTGCCTATATCTGGTTGCTGTATTCAAAATACCAATAATTGTGGTTTTCCAAGTGAAGCCCAAGAAATTCTAAGTTTTCTTCAAGATTTAAACTTGTCCATGGACTTTACTGGGTTGCAAGCCATCTTATCTCATTGTATTTTGTGATAAAAGTGATATGATCTGTTGGCAAACTCCTTTAAGCTGCGTTAAACTTTTAGTCAAAATACAGTTAAAAGTACTTGAGACCTCCAACAAGTGATTCAGATCAATAATCTTTAGTGATCCAAAAATTAGGCAAGTAATCTAAAGACACTAAACTTATTCTGTAGTTGATAGAGACACTTGACTAGGAAATGATTCATTTCAACTGTTATATATATGTCTCGGGTGAGGTGAGCTCCCCTCCAACAAACCTGTCTAACTCTTAGCATGGTCTTTGGCTTGGCTTTGTCATGAGCAAGCTAGCATGGACTCAGTTAATTCCATAGTTTGGGAACTCAGCTCAAGAACTTTTCAAAACTGATGGTCACAGATGTGACCATCCTGTTTTGAATGCTAAGGGAATTTAGCTCTATAGACATGGACAGACTATACAAGTTGATGTAGGAGAAGGATGGGCTCTGAAACTGTTTAATTTGGATAGATGGACCCTCTGTGGCCTGACTAAATCTTCCTGCTTGTTCCAGGAGTCTCCAAGCTGTAATTTGTGTCTTTCCTGCTGGCTTCTTCTCTTATACTGTCTGCCACTTCACCTTGCTTCATGCTTTCTCCTGCATAAGATTAGTTACTGATGGGAAACTGCAATTTTCTAGCCCTTTAGAGGGCTCCCCCATTCTAGAGTGCAGGGGTAAGAACAAGGCAAACAGGTACTGCTGGGTAGCCAATGCTTTTTAACAAAATACTATGTACAAACCATTCTGTCAAAGTAAACTATCCATCACCTTGTGGACGTGAAGAACAATGCCTGTGCCATATCAGCACGACATACTGCAGCAGAGATATTCCTGGTCACTTGGTAGGACAGCAGCCAATAGACTTTTCCGCTTCAGTCAGAAACTACAAGTTTCATCTGCTACAGGTAAAAAATTAATGGCATATGGATATTGATGGATACACAACTGCAATTCCTTGAATCAAGAAAGTCAAGAAGGAACTAGAGGTACTCAAACTGCTACAGTATAGCTGGCTTAAGGAACATGACAGTCCATGCTGGCCAAGACAAACCCCAGGAAGGAGGAGATTTGTGGATAGAAGCAATACTGGGAAGAGATGATTTTTTCTGTCCAAATCCAGCCAACATTTGGAGAGAGATGATGTTAATTTGTTTGGGGGGGGGGGGGGGGGGTGTCAGTTTGGACACAAACATGACAAAATATAAATATTGCTACAGAATTTCTTTTCAGACCATGCTAGATCTCAACTGACATGCTTAAGTTTCACTTATTTTCACTTATTTTCCATTTTTTTTCTTTTCTTGGGCAGGTGAATTCACCTTGTAAACATCAATATATTGCAGAAGTGTTTGTTGCCAGCATAAATAAATTGCAAACAACAGCACAATATTTTTCCTTTACTCTCTTCATAATAACATTACTTCTCCTACCTGTCAGTGTACAGACCTCTGAAGATACCATGTTCCCTGAAAAAAGATGCAGAGGCTCAAGGAAAGCCCTTTTCAAGGATTTAGATGGAAGTGTCCTCAACCTAGACCCACCTGTTGCTGTTTTCCCAAACTCAGAATTTCAATGGACACAGTTCTACTTGCAAGCTGGTAAGTGCCTGTGTTCTCTGGAGTGCTTGCAAAGTCACGCATACTTTTGATCCATGAGTTGTGATTTTACCCCAGGCTTTCACTAAGACCTACAACTGAGGTCGAGAAGATGGTGGTGCCAGATTGTGTGATGCCTTTCCAGGATGGGTGTAGAGAATTATAGTGTAGAAGTCTGGGAGACCTCATTGCACAGTTCTGTATCCAGTAATGTCTTTCTGCCTTCTTGCAGAATCATGTCACCTGGCATCATCCCAACCTTCTTTGCCTCTTTACAGTTTAATTAATTCATTTTAAGACCAGAACAGAACTTACCTGCCCTTTGCAAAGTCCTCTGAGAGTATTAAGACATGCCACATAAATGCTACATAAATGCAAAATAATAACAATAATTGGCCCAGCAAGGATTTTCATCCATATCCCACTGAGGAGATAATCAAGCTGAAAACCCACTCCAGAAGTTTAAAGACCCCTCTCTCTGTTTAAAAAAGGCCCATTCTGCTCAGCAACCACTTTCTGAAGGTTCACACAGCAAGGCTCCTTTCTCATCCTGATTAAAACTCTGCTCTCTGATTCCAAATAAACTCTTTAATTACAATTAGCTTTTCCTGTGCCTGCTGCTGATGGTGGCCATTTTGCTGAAAAGGCACATCATTTGTGATTCCAGCGGTATGGGAGACTGATGGAAAGGACTGTAATTAATCCTGTTTTCCATCCCGCTCTAAAACTGATTAAACATGAGAACTTCTTTAATCTTTAAACAAAATGTCTAATGTGTAAGGTTTTTCCTCTAAGGATCCCACTCTAACTGGCTGCTTACAGGGCTGATTAATGTATTGTCTACATACAAACACATTCAGTTTTACTCTACCTTTTCTCCCCTGGTTATGAACCTCATGCAAGCGCACATACCCCATCAGTATTATCACTTAGCACCTGCATATTAATGCATGCCTACTTTTGATTACAGAACCTGGGTTTTATTCAGATCTGCACCTCTTTTAGTACACCCTGGTACACAGTCATAGGCACGACAGGAATCCCCACCATCTAAAGTACACTGATAGCGCAACCTGCACTCCGCAGGGTTTATCTCCTTGTGTAATGGAGGCAACAGCATATGGTAAATGCTGCCTGCCTCTGAGGCTATAACAAAATTGCTGTGTTTTCTTCTTGACACCCAAATATGAATGGGGATATCTTCCCCCTCCCCTCACAATGATGTGTTAAATTCCTCTGCATTTCGCATTTTGACCTGCGGTTCCATTCCTCTCAAGGTTGACATTTCAAAAGGCACAGCTTGATGCTAAGGTGAATTCATGGTCATTGTCTTCTATTCTCTACCCCTTCCTTCTCCTTCGTGAAGGTTGTAGCACTATTTTGCACAACTCAATGCAGGCTCCCATGCTAGATGAATAGGAGAAAATGCTCTACTTACCTGCTCCCACAGGTTTCCTGTGGGGCCAGATTCCCACTTGGTGCAACAGCGTTCCAAGGCTAATGAAGATGGTGGTGTTATGATGCTATTGAGCAGAATTTGACCCTTGAAGTTCTGCTTTTCCTGAATCAGGATGAACATTCAGTACTTAAATTATCTGGGTGGTCAAGACCCACCCACTGAGCTTCACATCCACCTATCCACCTGATACCTTATTAAACCTGACTAATTCTAACCGCTTCCAGCAGCTTTGTCAGAGCACTGCAATGCACTGTTTAGTGCTTTGACAGTCTTTTCAGGTAGCTACACAATATCCTTGCCACTTGCCCAGTTCAGGGGCACAAGTTTCTTCAAGTCAAAAGCTCTGGCTTTCCACATCCTCTTAATTGCCCTTTTATCCAGATGCATATATGCATTCTCTTTAAGCTTTCAGCTGGGACAATCAGCTTGAAATTATTGGCTCTCAGACATTTCTAGATATCTTAGCTACTTCAAAGGGGAGCAAACAGAAACACTCAATATACTTCAGGGACACAAAAGCCAGGAAGATGTTTCCTCAGAAAAATTCCATAAGGAAGAGGCTGTGAGAGCTGTAACTGGAGCACAAGGTATCAGTCAGTATGATATTAATTCTCCTGATGTCTTTTATTGAAGATGGAATCAATATAGAATATATATAATAATTTATTTGTGTAGACATATGTGTGTGTGTATGCAGAAAGCAAGGAAAGACCATTTGGCTTCCTGAGTTCTGCCCATTGTAGATGGCCAGTAGTGAGACATGCAATGTATATTTATTCATGTACCCACTTTTCTTTTCCTTTGTCTTTCTGTGTACCTGATCTTTCACCTGCTGTGTTAACTCTTTGGGTGATAGCCCTGGTCTTTTTATTGTGGCTTTCTGTAGAAGCAGAGTTGTTCATGTAAAACTTGTAGTTTTAGTTTTCTGGATAAATCACAGAATTCGGAAAACAAAACAAAACCGGAGGAAACCGATCCAAGAATTTTGTTGTCATTATTTCTAGTAAAATTAAAAGGAGAAAAAACAACTGTTGTTTTGAGTCAAACAAAGCATAATTATTTTTTTAATCCAAGAGAGGTTTTTCCTTTTTTTCTACTTTTAAATCTAATACTGCAAAATTTTAGAGGTGTTTTCCAGCACCCCCCTAAATAATTTATAAGGTGCTGTCACAGTATCCTTTTTCAAATTATCCAAAACAATTTAATGACTTTAACATGATTTTCTAATTATTTTAATCTCTTTGAGCTGCCATTTTTGGATGACAAAATTTTTTTCTCCCAAAACTCATCTCTACACCAAACCTCCTACAAAACAGCTTAGGGCCAGGCCTGAAGCATTAAATGGTACCATGACACAGGAAACAACAGCATCACAATCTGTACAGCAGAATTAGCTATAAACATGAGCGTTTCTAGCTGAGGAATGAAGGGCAAGTCAAAAGTTTGTGTGCTCAGTTGACGCGTGTCCAGTTTAAAACCCCTGCTCCACAAAGGAAAGCTGATACAACCATCATGCTGTAGTTAAAATTTCAACCATTTGTTGACTATCTGCAATATTTATAAGACTCTGTTATCATACTTCCTCATGTCTGTAATCTGACAACAGCCAGCTCCCAGAAACATTGAAGTTTATTGTCTTCCCTTGGAGGACATGCAGCAAAGGACCAGTAACTTAAGAACCTTTTTTCTTTTTTTATCCTGCCTTGTAGAGAGATACTACAACGGGGCTATAGCCAGAGAAATGGGAACTCGGGGAGGGGAATGAAGAAAGGAAAAGGCCATCAGAAAAATCTGTCAGCCAGTATCTGTACTTGCAGAACTATTTTTACCCTTGTTAGAGGGGAGAATATGACTCACTTTCTAAGCAAACCCAAAATGTTGCAATTTGCTATATAGGCCTTTAATCTCAGCTGATATTTGTAGCTAAGCATTAGACTATGAGAATTACACATAGCAAGGTATGAGAGCATGAAAGCAGGCTGCCATCCCAGACAATATTAGATTCTCCAGGATAGGATATATTCATGAAGGCAGAGATCCAGCCCCCAGTGTGCAACTCCAGAAGAGAGTCATTCACATTCTTCTTCTTCCCCTATAAGAACAGCTTCAAATTTGGCCAGAACAATAATCTGTCATATATGTCTAAATAGTTTTAAATTCCCAGGGATGTGGATCGTGGATTTTTGCACAATCTGCTTTCTTCTGGTATTTTTTTTTTATTGAATAAACTTAGCAATTAATAGTTGAGGAAGTGTATAATGTTGACACACAAGCTGCCAGCATAATTTAGCAGTAAGCTGTTTAAAAATGTTGCACCATATATATTTATTATTTCAAGGACTATGATTAACCACATCTGCTATGTATAACTGTGTAGTAATTAAAGATGATTGAGAAAAGAATGCAGGTTTGGTAGATTTGGAAGGAATAAAACAGTTGCAATGTTGGCATGAAAAATGTATTGTTTTCCTCTGGAGTTTGTTGTTGTGTCTGTTCGCAGATAGAAATTTGCTTTTTTTCTGCAATAAATGCATGCAAAATGGGTTGAAGGTAGCAATGGAGAACATTAAAAGAACTGTTACCAAGTTATTGTTTTATAAAACTCAAACCTAATATGATCAGAAAATGCCTGTAACTTTTACTTAATTTTCCTGAAAACACATCCTTGATAAAGGTTTCAGCAGACCTTAATTAAGTTGAGACCAAAGCCAAGAACAAAGTTGGGATGATTTATTTTGAGGCCTGTCATTTTCAAAATCAAACTCTTATATTTAAAAAGTTATTTTGGAAAACGACACCATTTTTAGAGTTTGTGAAGTCTCAGAGAGTCCATTTGTTTCCCTGTGAGTTAAAAAATAGCTCAGAAGCCCCCAAACACCACATCATCTTCATTTAGGAGTTTAGTTATGTATTCGATATCCAGCTCTCTACCTTTCTGTATATAAATATTGTCTGCAACTTGAACATCAGCTTTTTTTTTATCATTGACATAATGAGGTTAGTATTTCAGGGTAGTGGTTCTGAAGTTGTGATTTATAAACCATTGGTGGTACATAGAGTCTGAATAACCAATGCACACATGACTCATGTATTGATTTAGTAGTCTGACACTTAAAGGTGAAAAGAATTATTAGCCATCTGGGAAACTGGAGCTATGAAAAATATCTGAAACTTGGGCGGCTCAGTTTTGAAGAGAAGAAATGGATGAGAGAATTAAGAACTAACTTCAAAATATGAAAAAGTCTATAGAATCAAAAAAAATAGACTGAAATTTCATCAAGATAATTTTAAATTAAGGGAGGAAAGGTTACAATAAAGACAACAAAACACTGTAATAACTTGCCTGAGTGGGTTGTAATGTCACTCTCAGTAAAAGTTATGCAAACATCCTTGGCTGATCCAGATGCAGCTGGTCTTTTCCCAAGGTGAGGGAAGAAATGGATCAAATAACTTCAGAAGGCCTTTTCTGGACCCATTTTCAAAATTCTGTAAGGATGCTCAGTGATCTGAAGGAATCTTTGAGGTCTGACAGGGATTTGTGGATTCAAAGTTTTGGGTGATGCGGTAGGAAGATCTGGTAATTAGAACTTTGTAAATCCTGCTGATGAAGACAAAGAGTGACTACTAGGGAAGTAATTAGTGCAGAGAGATTCTTTCCCAAGCCATGCACTTGATCACTCTCAGCCAGAGTGCCTGTTCTTCTGGAATGTTAATGCACTGGAAAGGTTGTGCAGTATGGAGAGGCTAATCCCACAGAAAACAGTGTACAGGATCCGAGTTGGAGTTTACAGCACCAAGTAACAAAACCTGAGACAGGTTCCTTGTCTGAAGCTTCTCATTACAGCTCAGTAGCTTCGACATCATGCCTTTTTCTCTTGAGGGCTGTATCAGTCTTATTTATCATTCCTGCTTCAGTGATGCCCACAAATCTGAGTCAGTAGTTGTTTTTTATTGTTACTTGATACCATCCAGAAACCTTTCTGGTATCTTCTAAAAGAAACTGCTGATATTAATAGTTAACCCAGAAGGCTTCAGGAGAAACAGGAAAGTGAAGTTTGCAGCTGCTTTAAAAAGAGTCAGGGACAGCTGAGGAGAGCAGCATAGGACATACAGCCTCCCTAAGCTTGATGGTTGGTACCTTTAAGGAGGCAAGACGGCTGTGTTTATGCAATTAAAAAAAAGAAATGTGAATTGCATCCTGCAAGTATAACTATATTATTTTCCTTAGATCTTAGAGGCATATCTATAATCAAACCAAACTGCTGAGTGTTAGTTTGCAGAGCTTTACAGGAGAAGCACTGCATTTTGCAACAATTAATTTTGCAGAGGAAGCAGCCTGTTTAAAGACGCCTGCAGCAGTCACTAAAATATGTGTTGTTTTTCAAGGCCACCAGACACACAGTTGGCTAGGTTGGCTAATAAACAAAACAACAATGCAAAAACCCAGCCTCATGGGGTTTGCAGGAAGAAGGGATGAGAAATAAAATGAATAATGCTTACCTGCTAGGGGTGGGTGAAGACTATAATTGTTTAGCCCCCAGCAGATCCCTTCAAGGGTTAAAAATGACAAAGATATTAGTTGGTGACTGGTAAGATTGTTGGTTTGAAGCTCTGGGCAAAACACAGACTGTTATTTACCGGACTTGGTCGATTTACTTCTTAATGCAATAATGACCTGTGAAATGAAACGTGAGCTAGACAATTGTTCCTCATTGTTTCCAGTAAAACATCCTTTCATACCCCATTAAACCACCATTAATTCCATTTGAAAGAGAAGCAGGCACAAACACCAAGGGATATCTCTCTCTTTTCCTCTCTTTGTGGGATTGATCAAGGCCTGTGGATAGCAAAGCATCTTTATTATCCATTTTAGAGTGTGTTGGACAGCCTGGGGCCAAGATTCTGAGTGAACACCACAGCCATCTACTGGATTGGCACCACTGGATCACATTCCTGAGGTTTTCAGAAGAGGGTATCAGCTAACCTGGCAAACACAGTTAACGTATTGATGTTAATACATCATGTTTTTCTCTCTTTTTAAAGAAAAGTTGGCTTTCTCTAAGCATGAGATTCATGAAATCATGCACTGTATGTGCGATTGTATGTGTGTGCCAGTAACTTTTAACCCATTTTCACTTTCAATCAAAACTAGTAAATGGATAAGTCCTTGAAGATAACAGACTCTTACAGGTTTTAAAAAAAAAAAAAGAAAAAAGAAAAAAAGTGGTTTGGGAAGAAAACACTACCCCTCCAAAGGGGGATACCCCTTGGTATCCATTTCTTGGATACCAAGAAATGCTCCCTGGAGAGAAACTCCAATTTTTGTCCCAACTGAAGGAAAAACTTTTGCACACTGGTATGCAGCAGGAAATCCAGCCATAGTTCTGTAGGATAACCCTGGTTCCACTTTGCCTGAAACTGATTTCTCCAACTCTTGGCTCTCCTCTGCTGTAGCATTAAGACATGTAGATATGCCACTTACGGATATGGTTTAGAGGCACTTAACAGTCTTAGGTTTTCAGTTGGACTTGATGATCTTAAGAATCTATGATTCTACATTACTGAGAACCAGAACATTTAAGATGTTCAGATTTTCTTTGATAATACCAGATCAAAAACAAAAAACCCAAGGGTTTGTTTGATTTTTTTTTCCTTAATCAGAGCTCTAACTTGAGGAAGAAAACTAACAAACCATGTGAATGATAAATGCTTATTTTCTTCTGGAAAATATTGGTGAATAAAAGCAGACAGAAACTGTTTTTCTACTAGAGTTTTCTGGGAATACTTTTTTCCATGGGAAAAAAAAAAAAAAATAGAAGGAAGGGTTAAAGGCTTAAAATATTTAATCCAAACCGATTTTCATTTTCCTCCTTCTCGGGGGGGATGGAAGGGGTGGGTGGACACAGCCTGATTTTAAGCAAAGCCCAGTTTTCTTTCAATACCAACATAGAAAGCCAACTTCCAGAATTAATTTTCAGTTAGCTTCAACCATTGTGAATAATTCAGAAATATTTAGGACAATTATACTGACATAAATCTAGTAGTCTCCCATTCTATCTGATGTTATAAAAGTGGGATTATAACATTTTCTGTTCATTCATGAGATGTTGATACTGTGCAGACAGGATTTCTGAAGGTGAGGAATCAATTAATAATCTCCACTATAAGGAAAAGAGGAGACACTTAGGTAGGATGTTGTGTTGGAGATGTCTGATGCGAGAGGGCGGCTTTGGTAATGGTTGCTTCACACAACACTCTGATTCTCCTTGAATTCAGTACATTTGCATTGATTTGCATGTCAAGTGGTGTGTTACATACTGCACAAAAAGAGGGGAGATCTGGAGGGATAGAAGTAGGGACAGTTCTAATGAAGCCCAAGGTCTAGCACAAGAAGGTCAAAATCGCTTGACACTGTTAGCCTTCACATCATCAATAGTCCCCAAGACCCACAACCTCACCTCCATTCCTTCTCTACTTTTTCATTCTGCCTGACCTGTCCAAAATCCCCAGCCCAAACCGGCATTTCTACCTCCACAAGCCAGGCCCACTTACCTCCTCTATCTCCCAGAACCTCCAAGATCCTTCTGTCTTCAAACTAAAACTCTGACACTGTTGCTTCCTTCTTCCTTTCTGCTACAATTTACCACATTCTCCACAAATTAGGGGTCTAATGACAGACCTCTTATCTCCACAGTCTTCCCACTCAGCAGTCACACTGCTTCTTTGCTGCCATTTAACCCCACCTGAAACCTAGACCATGGCAATTAATCAATTCCTTGGCAGGTGTTGCCCACCTAACAAGAGGTTACCACGGATCAGTGGCTTTTATCCACATGTACTACTGGATTTCATGCAAGCCACAGTCTGACAGCTCGTATTGTAACATGTTACATCATCATCCTTGGTTTTCAGTTGCTTCTATTTTTACATATATATATATACACACATATATATAATACTGTATTATTTTATGTTATTTGCTACACTTAGTTCATTTCTTTTCCTGTGCTAGATTTATGTCTGGGGTAAGATTTTGTCGGCAACTTTGCTCAGACAAGGTCCAGCTGCAAAGAACAAAATTAAGCTTTTATTTTGGTGTGTGCTAGAAAAGAAATCTCTAAACTCTAGAACCTGTGAGCTTGTAGTAAAGTATTGAAGGTTGGCTGGGAAACAACTCTAAGGCCAGTGAAATGCTTCTATCCACAGCCCCCATGAAAAACTGTGTCCAGAACTACCTATTAGAATAAACTGCAGAGACTCATTATCTTCTGATGTGCTGTGAAAGATCTAAGCTTTGGCTATCACTTGTGAAAATTTCAGTGCCTGTTCTGCAATGTTGTTTGAAGCACAGACACCAAATGCTCTCCTCCTTTCAGCTGTCTTCAAAATACCTGAATACTTGGATCCCTAAATCCCATCTTTTAGTTCACTTGCATTGCATCTGTTAATTAACAAAGGAATTCTGGGCACTTCATGACCGTTGTTGCTGCCCAAGGCACTGGGTCCCCAGGAGGCAAACATGTGTTATGTCCTAACTTTACAGACTAGGTCAGTTAGGAGCCAAGTGGTTACACAGTCATTTGTGGTGAATGGAAGAGGGACCTTAAAGTTCAACCATCAACAAGTATGCCATCAACTGGAAACATGCTGGTTAGGTTTTTGATTAACCAGGGTGTTTTTATTAAGGCACCTAGCCCAGTTTACTTTGTGTAGGATTGAGATATTTTTTATACAGGCTTGTGTATGTCTCAATGACTTACAAGATCAAGTCTCAAGATCACTTGATCAATCAATCAAGATCAACCACTTACAAGATCAATCACTTAGAAGATCAAGTCTCATTTGCAAAAAAATCCCACACCCAAAAACCTTATCGAAGGATACAATTGCAATTTTGGAAGGAGATGGAGAGTGAGAAGAGCAAAAACCCTTATCATGCACATGATGAGCAATGGTCTGTAAAAATAAGTCCTTTTTTTACCTTCCATTGTAATTCTTCCTATGTAGTAGTAGTACTCTGAATCAGAGAGAATCATGACTGTATGTTTGTGTGTCTGAAAGCATGTGTGTTTATACACGCACATGCAGGCCCTGTCCTCACAACTGTACTTGGAAGCATTTCATCATTTTTTCCCTCTTATCTTCCAAATATTAGCATCTAATGAAATACACATTTCCCTCATTTATTTTGAACCTACTCCAAGTCCAGCAAATACCAGAACCTCAAATGTTATGACAGGACAGATTCTTTATTGGTTTGTTTTCTTTTCATTCTTTCTGTTTTCACTGTGATTTCTTTCTTTCTTTTTTTTTTTTTTGAAGATTATAGACCCTTATGTTTTAACTCAAGGAGCCTGGCTTTCAACTGAGGTACAAAAATATGTCCAAAAAATGTCCCTGAGAGCCATCCAATGCAGACAGCTGTGCAGCAAACAGGAAATTGAGGAAGTCAGGTTCATCAGAGACACAGGATTTCCTTCGTGGATGTTTCAGATAAAGCATCTTTATTTTTACTGTGCTGGTTGTGTGCTGTAAAAGAACCATGAGAAAAGCAGGGAAAATATCAGGTTGTGGCTTGCAGACAGTGATGTCAAAGCACAACCGAAAGGCAAGTTCTCACAGGGACATGGCCATGTTGACATGACCTCTGCCAAACAAATTCACACTTTGTCAGTGGTTTGGGCTGGCCTGACATGAGCCAGTTCTGAACCTGAAGCTGTATCACTGAAACACATAAGGGTAGGACTGGCCAGGACGGGCACATTTCCATACTAATGTGGTTGCACTTCAAGTTGGTCATGGTCTTTCTAGTTTGAACTGTGGGCAGAGCAATCTCAGGTCTAACTGTTTAGGGCAGTTTAAGTGTCCTCCTAGTTTACAACATGTTGTGTTAGAGGTTTTACTGCTGGCAGACTTGAATCACAGGAGCCAGAAGGTTTGCCCATCAGCGTGTGAGGAGTGATTTATTATGACAGACAGGGAAACACAGGCTGCTGCTGCAGAATCACTCAGCAGGTGAGACTGCAGAATTCTGCTAAATCCTTCTCTTGTGACTTTGAAGAAGTCACGTGATTATCCTGTGAAAAGAGGCTAATTCGTCTTGCTTTCCTCCATTCATTGTTTTGTGATGACATTTCAGTGTTGGGACTAAAGAAGTGTCTATGTAGCATCTGGTATGATGTGATCCCAAAGTGTGAGGCTTATATGAAACACTGGCAAAAAATACATACCAGTAATTAACAGTGTCTATGTGGTATTACTAAAGTAGGCAAACTCTTAGATGTCTGCCTGCATGACCTTAGTTACCCTTGCTCTCTTATTTGTGTTTTTAGTTTCTTACAGTCTTGCAATACATGATCACACCAACAAGGAAGAAGTTTTGATTCATTTGGTCCAAAATATAAGTGCTCCAGAGATGGCTCAGGGCTGTGTAGTATGACATGTTTATATAAAAAAGCTCCATCTTATCTCCTGGAGAAACTGAAACTTGTGGGATGAATAAGGACTAGAGGAGAAGAAAGGAAGGTCTTGCATCACAGGTTGTTACTGAAACCCATCTGAGCAACAGAGCAACTCTAAACAAGTCTTTTAAACTAAAGCATTTGCCTATGACTTTGTTCATGTCCCCATAGTATCTCCTCTCTTGCCTGGATCCAGCCATGCCTGAACACTGTGCTAGAAAGTGTTAGTTGCATCAACCAAAACTTCTCTGGGAAATACAAAGTTAACCATTAAACTAATGGTTAAAGTCTATGGGTGATCGTTACCCAATGTGTGAGATCACACGCTAACACTATTTGGTTTACTGGTGTAGATGTGGTCTGGGTGATATGAACACCAAAATAGTAGGAAGTGCAGAAACCATCCATCTCAGTTTCATCTCTAGTGCACTCAGGACAGAGTATTTTAACTAATGAAGCTGCAAATGTTGACTATGCTTGGACCAAGAGTTTGGTACACCGAAAAGCAATTACTGAGCCAAAACATGCATAATCTTCATTTGTAAAGCATCTATTTGATATTTATGAATGTCATTACCAAGTTCAAAGCACACGTAGCTGACACAATGAGCACCTTGGGGTTCTCAGGATATGTACCATGACTATTAATCTAATTATTAGATAAAATAATTAGCTAAAAGAACATATTAATTTTCTAATGTATTTTTGTAGAAATAGATCAGTGCTTTGGGAAAAAGTCAACTCACTGGCATTGCATTTAAGAGACTGGAAAATAAAGATTTTTATCTGGGATAGATATGTTGAATACTTAGTCTAAGATTATGACAAGAACATTGTTGTTAACTTACCATGTGAAACTTTATATTCATTTTCATGTATAAATATATAAATATATATGATTATAAAATCATACTGCATTCTTCAGTTGCTGGGAAAAGAGACACGCAGGTAGTGAGGCAACTGTCATACTGAAGCATCATAAGCTATTCTGGAACAATTTTTATTTTCAAAGGTATGATGTTGGCTTTTTATCCTTTTTTCTTATGTGTTGTAAGCACATTAAATTTGCAGCAGTACCTTAACTTGTCTTAAAAAACAAGTTGTCAAGACCAGGTAAAGTTGCAACTGTAATCTACCCCAGAATGGGGGTCATAGACCTGAGTCAGATGTTGGCCCTGTCCGGCATTTCTGAGTCTCTTTCTTTTTCCTTTGTCTTTTCTATTCTTTTTTACAGATCTGGGTAACTGCTCACTAATTTCAGTTTCAAGAGGCCCAATTTTCTGGTTGCTTGGATAAGGCAATTTGAATTAAAACTTTGGCATAGACCTTAGTTGAGAGACCAACAGAAAATTTAACTTCGGTGTTTGACAAGCTAATTGGCCAACATTTAAAACCATCAGTTATGCAATAAAACTGTATGCAATTAATTAAAGGGAGCTGATTATTTTCAGTTGGGCTCTGTTCCTGAAACATCCTCCTACTCACTAATAAACTTTGCTCCTGCGGTGCATTCTCTGAAATTAATAAACACATTGCAAAACTAGAGTAAGTCTGCCGCCTGATTGTTCTTTTTCCCATGCGCACTAAAGATGCAACAGTTACTAGCCTGAAAATGAAGTTTCATCCCTATAAGGTCCATATTGCAAGAACACTCTTTTTTTCCCCTAGATTATAGCACTAGCTGATCAAAGGTGCCCAAATGGGTTCAAGGTGGTACCAAAATAAAAGTGAAAGAAGCAGAGGGTACATATATATTGGATAAATATTCAGTTGGAGAAGATACTTAGTAAAAATAATTTCCTTAATACCTAAGGAGAGTTCTTGGCTCTTCTTGGACCTCTGATACTAATTTGGTGCACCTTGTGACAAATCACTCTGAGGAGTGACCACAGTTAAAAACATACCTCACATTGGAGCAGGGCTGGACTGTAATGTCTCTGTGCCTTAGGAGATGGGCACAACTGCCTTTACATCTCTGGAAAGGGAGATGAGAAGTGAGATATAAAATAACAGCAGGACCTGTCAGGAATGAAATCTGGTAGAGCATAGTTTGCTGTTGGGCAGAGGAATAGGCTGTGTCACTTGTTGAGGACTTTTCCAGCCTTCTGAATCTAAATGTTACAAGTTATTATAAATCATTAGATGTGTAAGTAGAACCAATAAGATAATTTTTTTAAGTGTAGGAAAATGATATGATGTCTCCCTTACTGTTCAGTGCTGCAGTGTAAGACATCCAAGTCAGCTTTAGAGAAACTACTTTGTCCAGCTCCCTGTGCAGTCTGCTTCAGGTGCCTGGTTTGCATTTTTGTGCAGGGAGGGACACCTGCTTTCTCTTTTGACTCTTTAGGGCTCAAGGAGTCAGTATCTTTTTCAGTCGCTCAAATTTGTGTCTGAGGTAAGAAGGAAGCTCAGAGAAAGTCAATGACCACACATAAAGCATTCCTTGCTCTTG